ACGACCACTAGTGCGAGCAGCACGAACAGGCGACGCAGGACGAGACTTAGGCTCACGACACTCAGCAAGACCTCCAGTAGGACCAGTGTAGGAAGAAGGAGCAGGTAGGGGGGAGGCGGGCTGTAACTGTGACCGCGACTAGACAGGCTGTGGACACGCTAAGGGAGAAGCTGAACCAGTAGAGGGCGGGAGACCAAGAACCTGCTCAAGGAGCGGAAGGAAGTACGGCCTCGGCCGCGCAGCGACTCCAGAACCAGCAGGGACAGCACCAGTACCCCCAGCGGCAGCACCAGCGCCAGCAGCACCTCCAGCTCCAACAGCGCCAACTCAAGCACCCTCAGAAGCACCAGTGCCAGCAGAACCACCAGCGCCAACACCTCCAGCAGCTCCAGCTCCAGCAGCTCCAACTCCAGCAGGACCGTCAGCTCCTGTACCGCCAGCAGCTCCAGCACTACCTCCAGCAGGACTAACTCCAGCAGCCCCAGCAGCACCCCCAGTCCCAGCAGCTTTAGTACCTTCAATACGAGCACCTCCAAGACCAGCAGCAACATTAGTACCTCCAGCTCCAGCAGCACGGCTCCAGCGCCGAGCAAACCACTTGCGCAGCTCCTGCGGAGAGAGTAGCTCCCGCCTCGACGAAGCACCGCCAGAGGCCACACGAGCAGACCCAGCACCCCCAGGCTCCGCATCCCCAGGCTCCGCACCCCCAGGCTCCGCACCCCCAGGCTCAGCACCCCCAGACCCGGCACCCGCAGGCTCAGCGCCCCTGGCAGCACCAGAGTCAACAGCTACCTCGACAGGCTCGAGTGCGTCTACCTGGGACACACCTGACGGGGCAGGACCCTGAGGGGGGAGAGGGTCTACCGGAGGAGGACCTGGCGCAAGGAAGAGCGGCGGTGGGGGGAGGGGTGCAGTGCGGTAGGGGAAGAGACGGTAGTAAAGAACCGACTCGTCAAACGTGACGTCCTGGGAGGACAGAACACGGCGCGAGGTGGGGTGGTAAAACTGCCAACCAGGCGCGTCAGGGGGGAAGCCAAGGAAGACGCAGGGAACAGCACGGGGGGACAGCTTGTCCGCAGACAAGTCGCGGACAAACGCCCGAGATCCCCAGACCCGAAACGCAGACGCATCGCCAACCTTCCCCATCCACCGCAAGGTGGGGGAGGTCTCTGGCAAGGAGACCCGGGGCTAAAGGTTGAGCTGATGCGCTGCGTACTGAACCGCAAACGGCCACAGAAAATGGGGAGCAGCCGCATGGATCATGGACGTACGAGCGACGTCCATGACCATGCCAATGCGGCGCTCAGCAATCCCATTTTGCTGTGGAGAGGTCGGAAGCGTGAAGGTCTGGCGGATGCCCTGTGCACGACAGAAGGCTCCCAGACGGGCAGAGGAAAACTCCACGCCTCTGTCAGAGTGCAGACGCAGAACAGGAAAGTCCGAGCCGAAACTCTCTATGAGCTGGAGACGAGCTGCGCGGATCCAGTCGATCAACACCTCAGTGACGTCACCCTTGCTGTGGAAGGGGAACACCGTGGTGTAACGCGAGTAGTCGTCAACCACCAACAGGAAGTAACGCTCGTGACCCTGGCCACGGACGCGGGCGGGGCCCCACACGTCCATGTGAAGAGTCTGCAGGGGAGCCTCTGTCGGAGGAAACTCGGAGGAGTGAGGGGCCGCGCGCTGCCGCCCCTTGACGCAGGGAACACAGGTAGGGGCAGGCCCCGGAGGGAGGGGAGGGAGGGACCGGGGGAGACGAGAGACAAGGACACGGGATGCCATGCCTCGGAGACGAGGCAGGGAGGGGTGACCAAGGCGTTGGTGCCAAAGAAGAGTCTGGTGGGACAGGAGACGACACGAGCAGGGAGCAGACTCAGGACCAGACGTGGACGCTGCAGCAAACACCTGACTCGATGCAGCTACCTGACCAGACTCAGCAACCGGAGGAGACTCAGTAGTCAGTGTGTACAGGCTCGACCCCGGTCGACGGGTGAACGTGGCCAAGTGTCGGCCCGTCCGAGCACACGTATAGTGGGTCACCCGCTGACTCGCAGGAGTGAACTAGTCAACCCCCCGATCCTGTAGATCAGCACCACTCACCAAGTTCGTAGAGAACGAGGGGAGGTAGAGACCTGAAAGGGTGCCAGAGGGGGCTGCCGGGCACGGTAAGACAGTGGAGAAGCTAGCAAGGATAGGACCCCCAGAGGGGTCCGCGAGGGAGACCGCAACCGGCCGACTAAGCGGCATAAGCGTGGTGCGGTCTCGAAAGAAGGAGCGGGAAGCACCCGAGTCAAGGGTGAAGGTGTGTGAGGCCTGAGCCGACGTGGTACCTGAGAGAGCAGACTCACCAGCACCTGGGGCAGCAGACGCACTAGCACCTAGAGCAGCAGCCTCACCAGCACCTAGAGCAGCAGCCTCAATGCCCAGGTCAGGCGGAACACACAGGTTATAGTCACCCTCATCACTAGTAGACACAGCATACATGGCAGCAAGAATAGCATCATAGTCAAGATCAAAGATAGCAACCCCCGCCCTAGACAGCTCTCCCCAGCGAGGGATCTCAGAGGCGCCAGGGAACTGGTGACGCCAAGCCTCCGTCAGGCGGCCGAAGCAGCGCTGGGTGGAGTGCAAGCCCCCGCACTGCTCACCAGCGCGGTCGCCGGTACGCAGGACGTAGGTAGAAGGATCAGTACCCCCACCTCGCTGACGCCCAGCGTACCACTCACGAAGCTGCTGGGGGGACGGGGTCTCACGAGTGCGCTGCTGCTGCTGGCGCTGACCACCACCTAAGCCGCCCCGCTGGGCAGAGCCACCCCGACTAGCTCCACCTCCTCCGCCGCCACCTCCGCCACCGCCGCCACCGCCTCCTCCTCCGCTCCCACCGCCACCGCCGCCGCCGCCTCCGCCACCACCGCCGCCACCGAAGCCCCCACCCCCGCCACCACTCCCACCACCACCCCCACTCCCTCCGCCTCCTCCACCTCCACCTCCACCGCCCCTGCCAGCCCCTCCAGCGCCCTTGCCCTCCTTGCCCTTGCCGGTGCGGTGACGCCCGCTAGGGGCAGACGCAGCGCCGACCGACTCGGTGCCAACGATGTCGACGGCAGCACCAGAGGCAACAGAGGGCAAAAGGGGGGAGGGGGAGCACCCCTCAAAGACAGGGGCATGCGGGTCACCTCTAGAGGCTCCTACAGCGACTATACTCTTCTCAGCTGCCAGGAGACGCTCCTCGAGGAGGTCAACGGTGAGTGTGGTGGGGCAAACAGAGAAGAAGTGGTCCCTGACTGAGCGAAGGGAGTCAGGGAGCCGGGTGACTATGTAGTAGAGGGTGATGTATATGGGGGGGGGTTCTTGGCGCAGAACTCAGCAGGAAGCGCAGCGCGGTAGCGGGTGTCACTAGTGCGAAGGTGCGTAACAAGGTCAGCGAGAGTAGGAAAGGCGGCGAGTTCAGGAAACAGGTACGGCAGCATGAGGCGGCTAAGGGCAGCAGTGGCAGGGGAAGAGTAGCATGCAACTACAGCATCGTACAAAGTCTTAGCACTCTTGTACTGACTAAAGTGCGCACGCTCAGCGGTCGGTAAGTGGCGACGCACAGCAAGACGGGCAGCAGCATCGCGCGTGGCCCACTGTGAGCGAACAGTGCTGTCAGCATCAGCAGGCGGGGCAGGAGAGGCACCAGAGGTGAGATCGAACAGGAAGAGTTCGTCTGCCCTATCGCACTGTAGGAAAAGCTGCAGGTCATCGACCCAGACATCGAAGTCAACAGCACAACCCTCAGCATCAAAGGTAAGGACACTGGGGGTAGCCATGACAGCAGTGGTCTAGCAGGGAGGGCTCTCACCAGTCCGGGTGGGTAGGGCCGGGGCGCGCCGGGAGGAACAGGGCTGCAACAGCGGTGGTAGCGGCTCGGCAGTGGCAGTGGCGGCTCGACGGCGGGCTCGGCGGCTCGGCGGCTCGGCGGCTCGGCTACTCGACGGCTCGGCTACTGGGCGGCTCGGCGGCTCGGCGGCTCGGCTGCTCGGCGGCTCGGCGGCTCGGCTGCTGGGCGGCTCGGCTGCTGGGCAGCTCGGCTGCTGGGCGGCTCGGCTGCTGGGTGGCGCGGGTGCTGGGCGATACGGCTGCTGGGCGGCTTGGCGGCTCGATAGCTGAAGGGGCCGTGAAGGGCGGCAACGGGGCCGCTAGAGGCGGCGACGGGGCCGTGAAGGGCGGCGACACGGCCGCTAGGGGAGGCGACGGGGCCGCGAAGGGCGGCGACAGGGCCGCTAGGGGCGGCGACGAGGCCGCTAGGGGCAGCGATAGGGCCGATAGGGGCGGCGACGGGGCCGCTAGGAGCGACGACGGGGCCGCAAGGGGGGGGCGCGAGGGGCCTTGAAGGGCGGCGACGGGGCCGCCAGGGGGGGCGACGGGGCCGTAGAGGGGCCGCGTGGGGCCTCAAAGGGCGGCGACGGGGCCGCCAGGGGCGGCGACGGGGCCGCGAAGGGGCCGCGAGGGGCCTAGAGGGGCGGCGTCGGGGCCGCGAAGGGGCCGCGAGGGGCCTAGAGAGGCGGCGACGGGGCCGCGAAGGGGCCGCGAGGGGCCTAGAGGGGCGGCGACGGGGCCGCAAAGGACGGCGACGGGGCCGTAAGGGGTGGCGACGGGGCCGCTAAGGGTGGCGCGAGGGGCCGTGAGAGGCGACGTGAGGGCGCCCAACGGGGCGCGCCTCGGGCAGGGGCGACTTGCGCTCCGGTCAGGAAAAAAAATCGATTTCAGTGGTGGGCCCTGAGAAGCGTTCCCACTAGGGAACCTGCTCTATACCATGTGAAGAAATGAGGAATGAATGAACTAGCAAGCAGGTGGGTACAAGTAGGAAAACCTAGAAGATTTGTACCCCATATTCTCTACCCCACTACAGCCTACACACACAATAGCATAAGAGTTTGACACCTTTCCCCCTTCCCTCTATTCCTCTCCCCCATTTCAACGACCCCAGGTACGGAGGACTGTTGGTGATGGAGGGGCACATGCGCCTGGGCCAGCTCATCGCCTTTCAGCTCTACTGGAACCTCATCCAGTCGGGGTATCAGAGCATCATGTCTGTACTCATGTCCCTCACCAAGGCCTCTAGCACCGCTCAGCGAGTGCTCTCCCTCATCGACTCGCTGCCAGATATTGACCCTGATGCGGGCACCAAGGTAGGGTTTTGTATGTGTGTGTGTGTGTGTGTGTATGTGTGTGTGTGTGTGTGTGTGTGTGTGTGTGTGTGTGTGTGTGTGTGTGTGTGTGTGTGTGTGTGTGTGTGGTGTGTGTGTGTGTGTGTGTGTGTGTGTGTGTGTGTGTGTGTGTGTGTGTGTGTGTGTGTGTGTGTGTGTGTGTGTGTGTGTGTGTGTGTGTGTGTGTGTGTGTGTGTGTGTGTGTGTGTGTGTGTGTGTGTGTGTGTGTGTGTGTGTGTGTGTGTGTGTGTGTGTGTGTGTGTGTGTGTGTGTGTGTGTGTGTGTGTGTGTGTGTGTGTGTGTGTGTGTGTGTGTGTGTGTGTGTGTGTGTGTGTGTGTGTGTGTGTGTGTGTGTGTGTGTGTGTGTGTGTGTGTGTGTGTGTGTGTGTGTGTGTGTGTGTGTGTGTGTGTGTGTGTGTGTGTGTGTGTGTGTGTGTGTGTGTGTGTGTGTGTGTGTGTGTGTGTGTGTGTGTGTGTGTGTGTGTGTGTGTGTGTGTGTGTGTGTGTGTGTGTGTGTGTGTGTGTGTGTGTGTGTGTGTGTGTGTGTGTGTGTGTGTGTGTGTGTGTGTGTGTGTGTGTGTGTGTGTGTGTGTGTGTGTGTGTGTGTGTGTGTGTGTGTGTGTGTGTGTGTGTGTGTGTGTGTGTGTGTGTGTGTGTGTGTGTGTGTGTGTGTGTGTGTGTGTGTGTGTGTGTGTGTGTGTGTGTGTGTGTGTGTGTGTGTGTGTGTGTGTGTGTGTGTGTGTGTGTGTGTGTGTGTGTGTGTGTGTGTGTGTGTGTGTGTGTGTGTGTGTGTGTGTGTGTGTGTGTGTGTGTGTGTGTGTGTGTGTGTGTGTGTGTGTGTGTGTGTGTGTGTGTGTGTGTGTGTGTGTGTGTGTGTGTGTGTGTGTGTGTGTGTGTGTGTGTGTGTGTGTGTGTGTGTGTGTGTGTGTGTGTGTGTGTGTGTGTGTGTGTGTGTGTGTGTGTGTGTGTGTGTGTGTGTGTGTGTGTGTGTGTGTGTGTGTGTGTGTGTGTGTGTGTGTGTGTGTGTGTGTGTGTGTGTGTGTGTGTGTGTGTGTGTGTGTGTGTGTGTGTGTGTGTGTGTGTGTGTGTGTGTGTGTGTGTGTGTGTGTGTGTGTGTGTGTGGTGTGTGTGTGTGTGTGTGTGTGTGTGTGTGTGTGTGTGTGTGTGTGTGTGTGTGTGTGTGTGTGTGTGTGTGTGTGTGTGTGTGTGTGTGTGTGTGTGTGTGTGTGTGTGTGTGTGTGTGTGTGTGTGTGTGTGTGTGTGTGTGTGTGTGTGTGTGTGTGTGTGTGTGTGTGTGTGTGTGTGTGTGTGTGTGTGTGTGTGTGTGTGTGTGTGTGTGTGTGTGTGTGTGTGTGTGTGTGTGTGTGTGTGTGTGTGTGTGTGTGTGTGTGTGTGTGTGTGTGTGTGTGTGTGTGTGTGTGTGTGTGTGTGTGTGTGTGTGTGTGTGTGTGTGTGTGTGTGTGTGTGTGTGTGTGTGTGTGTGTGTGTGTGTGTGTGTGTGTGTGTGTGTGTGTGTGTGTGTGTGTGTGTGTGTGTGTGTGTGTGTGTGTGTGTGTGTGTGTGTGTGTGTGTGTGTGTGTGTGTGTGTGTGTGTGTGTGTGTGTGTGTGTGTGTGTGTGTGTGTGTGTCTCTCTCTGTGTGTGTGTGTGTGTGTGTGTGTGTATGTGTGTGTGTGTGTGTGTGTGTGTATGTGTGTGTGTGTGTGTGTGTGCATATACATACGAGTTTTGAGGTGCATCAAAGCTCACCAAGGCCTCTGGCGCTGCCCAGAGGGTGCTCTCCCTCATCGACTCTCTACCAGATATCAACCCTGACAAGGGCACCAAGGTGTGTGGGGATCGGAATAGCAGTGGGTGTTTGGAGTGTGGGGGTCCAGTCGGGGTATCAGAGCATCATGTCGGTGCTCATGTCCCTCACCAAGGCCCTTGGTGCTGCTCAGAGGGTGCTCTCCCTCATCGACTGACTCACAGCCTGACATTGACCCTGACGCGGGCACCAAGGTAGGGAGGTGTGTGTGAGAGAAAGAAGAAAGCAGAGGGCAATGCTGGCCTGGCGTCAGTGTAGGAACCCACTCTAGTGTTGCCCTTATCTTGTGCTGTGCTGCCCCCCCTCCCTCATTTTCAAAACCACTACTCCAGGAGTGTCTTTCCACGTGGATCCAGGGCAAGTGCTCGCCATGGTGGGTCACAGTGGTGGGAGCAAGTCCACAGTGCGGGCATTCTCAACAGAGGGGGTGGAGAGGGAGCGGTACGAGAGCAAGACCATGGCGGCCATGGCAAAGGGCGTGAGGGACGCCCTTGCCTACTCCGGCGCCGTCGCCATCAACAACTGGCTCGACCTGGGGGCGTCCGTGCTCATCCTCTGGTGGGTTGGGTCTGCTGTGGTGTGCTGGGGGTGTGTAGGTGGGATGTGGGTGGGACGTACGTGAGGGACGCCCTTGCCTATTCCGGCGCCGTCGCCATCAACAGCTGGCTCGACCTGGTGGCGTCCGTGCTCATCCTCTAGTGGGTTGGGTCTGTCACCAAATATAATGGTAAGAGCATCATATTGGAGACATGTGCTAATTGGGTGTAGAAGTGGTGTAGCGAGTGTTATTCAATCTGCATGTGGGGTAGTTGGGTTATAGAGAGTAGCGAGAAGTTGGTAGCACTGGGGGTTACAGGGCGCTTCGGGGACAATTTCAGGAACCTCGGGAGACAGGCAATCTGGCGAGGGCCACTTCAAGGCCTAGGCGGCTCGAGCTCAACCCAGCACGCTGAGTTACTCGCGACTGGGCAGCCAAGCACAAATAGCCTAGCCTAGCATAGCAAACCTGTTCTCTCGTCTTGTTTGCCTCATATAGTGGATAACGTTACCGCAACAAGGCTACGCTAGCTAGATGACTACGCCACTGTGGGCAGCCATCGTGTGGGAGAGTAAACTTCTCGGTAGTGGCTGAGAACGCAGAAGGGAACAGGGTCACGGGAGTGGGGACAGCACAAGGTGGGGAAAGGCCAGAATAAGAAGGAAGGGAAGAAGGTGAGGACAGAAGGCAGGGAATAGGCAGGGGCAAGGGAGGAGTGAGGAAGGAGAAGGGAAGAACTCCGACAGGTCTGCTATGGTGTGTTGGGGGTATGTGGGTGGGATGTGGGTGGGACGTACGTGAGGGACGCCCTTGCCTATTCCGGCGCCGTCTCCATCAACAGCTGGCTCGACCTGGGGGCGTCCGTGCTCATCCTCTGGTGGGTTGGGTCTGCTGTGGTGTGTTGGGGGTATGTGGGTGGGATGTGGGTGGGACGTACGTGAGGGACGCCCTTGCCTATTCCGGCGCCGTCTCCATCAACAGCTGGCTCGAACTGGGGGCGTCCGTGCTCATCCTCTGGTGGGTTGGGTCTGCTGTGGTGTGTTGGGGGTATGTGGGTGGGATGTGGGTGGGACGTACGTGAGGGACGCCCTTGCCTATTCCGGCGCCGTCTCCATCAACAGCTGGCTCGACCTCGGGGCGTCCGTGCTCATCCTCTGGTGGGTTGGGTCTGCTGTGGTGTGTTGGGGGTATGTGGGTGGGATGTGGGTGGGACGTACGTGAGGGACGCCCTTGCCTATTCCGGCGCCGTCTCCATCAACAGCTGGCTCGACCTGGGGGCGTCCGTTCTCATCCTCTGTTGCGTTCATTCGGCCTTGTGTGGTGGGGGTGTGTTGGGGGCTTTTGAGACGTCTCAAAAGTCGTTCTGATTCGCTGGTGGGTTCATGCAGCCTTGTGTGTTGTGGGTGTGTTGGGGGTACGTTGGGCGTACAGAGGTGCGCTGGTGATGCAGGGGCACATGCAGCTGGGTCCGCTGATCCAGCTCTACTGGAATTGGTTCCAGTCAGGGACTACCAAGCATCTCGTTCCGTCTCCCTCCTCTTCTTGTCCCCCATTTTCCGTATCTCTCAGGTACGGAGGGGTGTTGGTGATGGAGGGGCACATGCGCCTGGACCAGCTCATCGCCTTCCAGCTCTGCTGGAACCTCATCCAGTTGGGGGCCCTGGGTACCAAGCACCTCATTCCATCTCCCGCTTTCCACCTTTCTTGTCCCCCATTTTCTGTATCTCTCAGGTACGGAGGGGTGTTGGTGATGGAGGGGCACATGCGCCTGGACCAGCTCATCGCCTTCCAGCTCTACTGGAACCTCATCCAGTCGGGGTACCACGAACCTCATTCTGGCTCTCCCTTTCCCCCTTCCCTCTATTCCTCTCCCCCATTTCAACGACCCCAGGTACGGAGGGGTGTTGGTGATGGAGGGGCACATGCGCCTGGGCCAGCTCATCGCCTTTCAGCTCTATTGGAACCTCATCCAGTCGGGGTATCAGAGCATCATGTCTGTACTCATGTCCCTCACCAAGGCCTCTGGCGCCGCTCAGCGAGTGCTCTCCCTCATCGACTCGCTGCCAGATATTGACCCTGATGCGGGCACCAAGGTAGGGTTCTCTGTGTGTGTGTGTGTGTGCATATACAGACGAGTTTTGAGGTGCATCAAAGCTCACCAAGGCCTCTGACGCTGCCCGAGGGTGCTCTCCCTCATCGACTCTCTGCCAGATATCGACCCTGACAAGGGCACCAAGGTGTGTGGGGATCGGAATAGCAGTGGGTGTTTGGAGTGTGGGGGTCCAGTCGGGGTATCAGAGCATCATGTCGGTGCTCATGTCCCTCACCAAGGCCCCTGGTGCTGCTCAGAGGGTGCTCTCCCTCATCGACTGACTCACTGCCTGACATTGACCCTGATGCGGGCACCAAGGTAGGGAGGTGTGTGTGAGAGAAAGAAGAAAGCAGAGGGCAATGCTGGCCTGGCGTCAGTGTCGGAGAGGGTGACTATGAGTGCAAGGGTGACTATGAGTGCAAGGGTGACTATGAGTGCAAGGGTGACTATGAGTGCAAGGGTGTCGTGTCAGTGCAAGGGTGACTATGAGTGCAAGGGTGTCGTGTCAGTGCAAGGGTGACTATGAGTGCAAGGGTGTCGTGTCAGTGCAAGGATGACTATGAGTGCAAGGGTGTCGTGTCAGTGCAAGGGTGACTATGAGTGCAAGGGTGTCGTGTCAGTGCAAGGGTGACTATGAGTGCAAGGGTGTCGTGTCAGTGCAAGGGTGACTATGAGTGCAAGGGTGTCGTGTCAGTGCAAGGGTGACTATGAGTGCAAGGGTGTCGTGTCAGTGCAAGGGTGACTATGAGTGCAAGGGTGTCGTGTCAGTGCAAGGGTGACTATGAGTGCAAGGGTGTCGTGTCAGTGCAAGGGTGTCGTGTCAGTGCAAGGGTGTCGTGTCAGTGCAAGGGTGTCGTGTCAGTGCAAGGGTGTCGTGTCAGTGCAAGGGTGTCGTGTCAGTGCAAGGGTGTCGTGTCAGTGCAAGGGTGTCGTGTCAGTGCAAGGGTGTCGTGTCAGTGCAAGGGTGTCGTGTCAGTGCAAGGGTGTCGTGTCAGTGCAAGGGTGTCGTGTCAGTGCAAGGGTGACTATGAGTGCAAGGGTGTCGTGTCAGTGCAAGGGTGACTATGAGTGCAAGGGTGTCGTGTCAGTGCAAGGGTGACTATGAGTGCAAGGGTGTCGTGTCAGTGCAAGGGTGACTATGAGTGCAAGGGTGTCGTGTCAGTGCAAGGGTGACTATGAGTGCAAGGGTGTCGTGTCAGTGCAAGGGTGACTATGAGTGCAAGGGTGTCGTGTCAGTGCAAGGGTGTCGTGTCAGTGCAAGGGTGTCGTGTCAGTGCAAGGGTGTCGTGTCAGTGCAAGGGTGTCGTGTCAGTGCAAGGGTGTCGTGTCAGTGCAAGGGTGTCGTGTCAGTGCAAGGGTGTCGTGTCAGTGCAAGGGTGTCGTGTCAGTGCAAGGGTGTCGTGTCAGTGCAAGGGTGTCGTGTCAGTGCAAGGGTGACTATGAGTGCAAGGGTGTCGTGTCAGTGCAAGGGTGACTATGAGTGCAAGGGTGTCGTGTCAGTGCAAGGGTGACTATGAGTGCAAGGGTGTCGTGTCAGTGCAAGGGTGACTATGAGTGCAAGGGTGTCGTGTCAGTGCAAGGGTGACTATGAGTGCAAGGGTGTCGTGTCAGTGCAAGGGTGACTATGAGTGCAAGGGTGTCGTGTCAGTGCAAGGGTGACTATGAGTGCAAGGGTGTCGTGTCAGTGCAAGGGTGACTATGAGTGCAAGGGTGTCGTGTCAGTGCAAGGGTGTCGTGTCAGTGCAAGGGTGTCGTGCCAGTGCAAGGGTGTCGTGTCAGTGCAAGGGTGTCGTGTCAGTGCAAGGGTGTCGTGTCAGTGCAAGGGTGTCGTGTCAGTGCAAGGGTGTCGTGTCAGTGCAAGGGTGTCATGTCAGTGCAAGGGTGTCGTGTCAGTGCAAGGGTGTCGTGTCAGTGCAAGGGTGTCGTGTCAGTGCAAGGGTGTCGTGTCAGTGCCTGCACTTCCATTACCAGATGAGATGCCTGCAACAACCCAATCAGTCTTCCATCCCTTGTCTCTTCTCACTCTTTTTTTCCTATGCTCAATCACCAGGTGTCAACACTGCAGGGATCCATCCGCATGGAGGATGTTCACTTCCACTACCAGATGCGCCCAGACCACCCCGTGCTCAAAGGTGTGTTGGCTACCTTCCTGGGTAACGCCCTGCTTTACTGTCACTACCCACCATGTGTTAGTAGCACCTACAATAGTAGCGTCCAGCTTTAGTGTCGCTACCTGCCGCATTCTAGTAGGAACCCACTCTAGTGCTGCCCTTATCTTGTGCTGTGCTGCCCCCCCTCCCTCATTTTCAAAACCACTACTCCAGGAGTGTCTTTCCACGTGGATCCAGGGCAAGTGCTCGCCATGGTGGGTCACAGTGGTGGGAGCAAGTCCACAGTCGTGTATCTTCTCATACGCTTCTACGATCCCTCCTTCCCTGTCTTCCTCTGTCCCCTGTCCCTTATTCCCTTCAGGAGTATCCCTCCACGTGGATCCAGGCCAAGTGCTCGCCCTGGTGGGTCGCAGCGGGGGAGGCAAGTCAACCGTGGTGCATCTGCTCATGCGCTTCTACGATCCTGTCCAAGGCCGCATCGTGATGGACGGCCGAGATCTGCGCGAGCTGAATCTACGGTCGGTGCACGCGCACATGGGGCTGGTGGCGCAGGACACGCAGATGTGGGCATGCAGCATCGAGGAGAATATCGCGTATGGCTTGCCTTCCTACACTCGAGCCGAAGTGGAGGAGGCTGCCAAGTAAGAGTGTGTGCAATCTGTAGTATGAAAATATGTGGGGCTAGTGGGGGCATCAGCACATGGGGCTGGTGGCGCAGGACACGCAGATGTGGGCATGCAGCATCGAGGAGAATATCGCGTATGGCTTGCCTTCCTACACTCGAGCCGAAGTGGAGGAGGCTGCCAAGTAAGAGTGTGTGCAATCTGTAGTATGCAAATATGTGGGGCTAGTGGGGGCATCAGCACATGGGGCTGGTGGCGCAGGACACGCAGATGTGGGCATGCAGCATCGAGGAGAATATCGCGTATGGGCTGCCGTGTTACACTCGAGCCGAGGTTGAAGAAGCTGCCAAGTGAGTGTCATTGGGAGATGCAGCACTGGGGGATGTTGCGACTGTTGAGGCGCCTCAAAAGGCGCATGTGTATATGTACATTCAGATGTGAACATGCAGCATCGAGGTTAAATTCGAGGAGAAAACCCGAAACCCTGTCGTAACTTTTTGCCCTCTGCTCTCCTTGCAACTCTTCTTTGCAGGCACGCCAATGCGCATGATTTCATCACCCAGTTCCCCGCGGGTTATGCCATGCGCCGGGCTTGTGGGAGTGCTTGTTGCTGAATTGATTTCCTGCGTGTTTTTCTCGCATCTCTTCCTTGCAGGCACGCCAACGCACACGATTTCATCACCAAGTTCCCCGAGGGTTACGCTACACGCGTGGGAGAGAGGGGAGTGCGACTCTCAGGCGGTCAGAGGCAGGTGAGGCCAAGAGAGGAGAGCTGAGACCAACAGAGGTCAGGTGAGACAAGACCTGGACCTTCAAAGTCTGATGAGGTTAGCTCAGTGAGCCTTATACAACTAACTAGTAATACCATAAGAAAAAATGTTGGAAAAAAAAGAAAAAAAAAAAACAACCAAACAAACGTTTGGCATGGAATCTTCTCTTTTATTGCTCATCCCTGATCTACAGCGCATAGCCATTGCCCGGATGCTGCTGCGCCGCCCGCGCGTGCTCCTATTGGACGAAGCCACGTCAGCGTTGGACGCGGAGAGTGAGGCGCTGGTGCAGGGCGCGCTGGACCGGCTGATCGCGGAGGGCGGGCGCACCATCGTGCTCGTGGCTCACCGGCTGTCCACCGTGCGCAATGCTGACAGCATCTGCGTGCTGGAAGGGGGGCGGGTCGCTGAGCATGGCACGCATGAGCAGCTGCTGGAAATTCGTGAGTGTCGATGGGTGGTAGAGGGAAGGGACGAGTTGTTGTTTCTTGTCGAGTGTGTGTACAGCAAGTGAGTGCGTGCAATAGGTGATGGTAAGTGCAGGGTGAAGGTAAGCCCACATGCACGGGTAGCTGCTGGCTTTATGCAAGAAACTGCTCATAACTGGCGGATTGTCTCTTTTCCACACGAGGCCGTTGGGGGGCCACAGTAACACAATTTCATGCTTCCTATCCTACCTACATTTCTCTTCTGGTGTGTCTGTTGTCGCTTCCTTCCAGCGAATGGAGTGTACGAGAGATTAGTACGACGGCAGCTAAGCAAGGCAGCCAACACCCTTGGGGGAATCGAGTCGTCAGCAGCAGCAGCCGACAAGCATGATCGCATTGACAATTTGATAGAGGAAGTGCACTGAGGTGCACGAGTTTGCCTTAGCATAGTAACCATGTGATCTGATCTGGTCTGCTCAGCAGCCATGATTGAGCAGAGACTGTAGTTAGTGATATTTTTTGTTGAGAACTTGCAGCAGTCCCACCCTCACATTTGCAGAATACCAGTGCTAGTGTGATTGGAAAAATGTAAAATCATCAGCCTGGCTATTGAATACGGTATGTCGAAACCAGTAGGCGGAATAGGGGTAGGTAAATGTTGGTTCCCACATTTTGGATACCATATTTTCCAGCTGATGCAACGTCAAGGTTTTTTTGTTTTTTAGGATATTTTGATTTGCTTCCACAACTTTCTTTAGGGTTGCCAAATCCCATTTCACTTTTGTTTTGGTCCCCGTGTGGGGAGGGGTGCGCCTTCCTCAGAGATAGTGCAATACTGAGGCGACGCGCACAGGGCCGACCAGCAAGCTGGCCATTGGCACCTGCCCCCGAAAGAAATTAATTTAATATCATGTGGACCGATGGTCCACGTATCAGATATTAAACTGATAAGAACAGATACTACACTTGATCTTAGCCAAAAGGCCGAGAAAGGTATGCCTACATTTCCTCAAACTTTCGTTCTTATTTTCCGAAATTTGCACCGTCCATTTCTGCGGTATGGGCCCGGTTGCTGGCGTGGGAAGCTGAGAGCTTTCCTCACGATACATCCTTTCAACCCAAACTCGTGCCTCTCAATTCATCCCTCTCTGTTTCGATAGAGAGCAGCTTTTGTTCCACATCCTCAGCTTTCACACATAGGCATTGTCGCTGGCGGGAGTGGCGGCGGCGCGTCAGTCCTCGTAGCCTTAGGTCGTAGCGCTTTGGTTTTCAATTACCTTTGTCTTCTAATACAGCGAAGTAAAGCACCGTAGTACGGCCTTAGTTCTTGCGAGTGCTCTTCTTGTTGGGCTTCATCTCCTCTGTTCGGTGCCGTTATTGGCTCTGCTTTTTCGATTTTATAGAAAATTTCAGAAATTGCTTCTGTAGAAATTTCAATCAACTTTTGATTCAGCATTCCGTGGTTTCCGTGTCGTCGCTCGCTCGGGGCGTACTGCTGAGCGTTGAGGAACTAACTCACGCTCAGGTTGTGCGCTTTGATGTGAAATCGCGGCTGACAGCCAGGATCCTTGCAGCTCTTCGCGGCGGATTTCCTAGATTCTTGTTCCGCGCCATTGGTTCACGGTTTCAGTTTCCCCTCCCTCTTCCGTCAGGAGTTTCTCAACAAGTTCCTACGCTTGCGCTTTTATATACATATATATACCATTCCTCCTTGCCTTACAGTTATAGCTTTCTGACGGGCCGTGCCCGTCACACGCAACGCTACTGTTCTGCCTGTTCCGCGTCTCTCCCGTTTTTCCTTTCATAGACCTCACATTCATTCCACGCACCGCAAACATCATGCGAACCGTACTATGACATCCTGTATCCCTTCCCACAACTCTCATGCTTCCTCGCAGGTCCCACGCTGAATCCGCAGATTCTTATTCTTCGTTTGCAAACCAGTTAGGCGATTTTCTCCGCCTCCTGGAAACAGCTAGCCATTTGTTCCCCTCATGTCCTGATGGTTCTGGCAGACTAGCATTTCTGTCAGACTAGCATCCCGCTGGTTCTAGCAGACTAGCAAAACGACGTGGTGCGGTTGTAGAATGTAAACGGACGGTGCACCTATTTATTCAGAGAAATTCAACTGGTGTACCAAGATATATTCCTTCAAATTCAAATCATCACTTGACTGGCTGATAAAACTGATTTGATCCTAAACCCTTTTTTCTTTTTCCCGGTTGACCAGCCTACAACGTTTTGGGTGTTAGAAGTGAGCAGACTGTGTCAAGCTCCCTTGGCACAGAAATGCTGCCGGAAGATGGTTAGCACATCCTTTTCCTGCCTTTCTCTTCTTTTTCTCCGGCATTAAACTGCAGATACTGTAGCAGAGGCATTGTACCGGCGGTGCTGATCCGGTTGTATACTGATCCAGTTGTAGCGGAGAGAAGGGCACGCACTGTACCAGGCTGGCTGCACCTGGAAAGCATTATTTTGGCGCCTTCAAAGTAAACCGGACCGTCATGCCGCAATTTTCTTGGCACAGGTGCAGTGGCTTTACTTAGCACGGAAGTCGTGCCGGAAAATGGTTAGGTTCTGAGTGAACTTGTCTCGGTTCTTGGGGTCGAGGTTCCGCCCCACATCCGCCATCAGCTTGTCAAAGCACTCGGCTATGCGCGGCCGCTGATCCGATGGCTGGGGTGAGGGGGATAGGGAGAGAGTGAGGGAGGGAGTAAAGGTGAATGAAATACAGGGAGACACAGAGGCACTGCGATTTTGGGGAGGAGGAGAGGGGAATCCGTTGAGGCTATTGAAGGGACAAAACAATGGAGAATTGAGAGTGGTGGAGAAGTGAGATTTGGGGTGCAGGTTCCGCCCCACATCCGCCATCAGCTTGTCAAAGCACTCTGCTATGCGCGGCCGCTGATCCGATGGCTGGGAGATAGGGAGAGAGGGACAAGCGGGGGTTTGGGTCGAGGTTCCGCCCCACATCCGCCATCAGCTTGTCAAAGCACTCCGCTATGCGCGGCCGCTGATCCGATGGCTGGGAGATAGGGAGATAGGGAGGTAGGGAGAGAGGGACAAGCGGGGGTTTGGGTCGAGGTTCCGCCCCACATCCGCCATCAGCTTGTCAAAGCACTCCGCTATGCGCGGCCGCTGGTCCGATGGCTGGGAGATAGGGAGATAGGGAGAGAGGGACAAGCGGGGGTTTGCGTCGAGGTTCCGCCCCACATCCGCCATCAGCTTGTCAAAGCACTCCGCTATGCGCGGCCGCTGGTCCGATGGCTGGGAGATAGGGAGATAGGGAGAGAGGGACAAGCGGGGGTTTGGGTCGAGGTTCCGCCCCACATCCGCCATCAGCTTGTCAAAGCACTCTGCTATGCACGGCCGCTAGTCCGATGGCTGGGAGATAGGGATATCAGGAGACATGGAGACAGAGAGAGGGGGAGACACGCAGATTGGGATAGAGGGAGGAAAGAAGGCAGGGAGAGGGGGAGGAGAGGGGAAAGGGAGGGGCCGGGGGGTGTTGAAGGCTATTGAAGGGACAAGAGAATGGAAGAGTGAGGATGGTGGAGAAGCGAGAGTTGGGGTGCAGGTTCCGCCCCACATCCGCCATCAGCTTGTCAAAGTTCTCCGCTATGCGCGGCCGCTGATCCGATGGCTGGGAGATAGGGAGATGGGGAGAGAGGGACAAGCGGGGGTTTGGGTCGAGGTTCCGCCCCACATCCGCCATCAGCTTGTCAAAGCACTACGCTATGCGCGGCCGCTGGTCCGATGGCTGGGAGATAGGGAGATAGGGAGAGAGGGACAAGCGGGGGTTTGGGTCGAGGTTCCGCCCCACATCCGCCATCAGCTTGTCAAAGCACTCCGCTATGCGCGGCCGCTGGTCCGATGGCTGGGAGATAGGGAGATAGGGAGAGAGGGACAAGCGGGGGTTTGGGTCGAGGTTCCGCCCCACATCCGCCATCAGCTTGTCAAAGCACTCCGCTGATTCGATGGCTGTCAAAGGGAGGCGGGAAGGTAAGGGACAGGCGGAAACAGGGGAGGGGAGGGTAAGCGCCCACCGAGGGAAGGATGCAGCAAGCAAGAATGAGAAAGAACAGTTGCGATTAAATATTTTGGTTCACGTCTGATCCATGTCCGTTGGAACATAGTTTGATGGATGAATACAATACCTATCAAATGGCGGAGAGGAGGGCAGAGTTGGGAGAGTATATACTCTCCTAGAGCTTACTTGAGAACAAGACACCGTGTGTGCGTGCATGCGCGTGAGTCTGTGTGCGCCCGTGTGCATGCGTATGTGCGCGTGTGCATGCGTATGTGCGCGTGTGCATGCGTATGTGCGCGTGTGCATGCGTATGTGCGTGTGTGCGTGCGTATGTGCGTGTGTGCGTGCGTATGTGCGCGCGCGTGGGGATGCGGGACATACTTGAGAGGAGAGTATTTGCAGCTTGAGGTCATTGTAGCGCTGCTCGTTGACCAGGATGAGAGCGATGAGAGAGAAAGGCACGATGTGTGTGCATGCAGTGCGTGCACGTGCGCGCATGCATATGTGTGTGTGTGTACATGACATACTTGAGAGGAGAGTATTTGCAGCTTGAGGTCGTTGTATAGCTGCTCGTTGACCAGGATAAGGGAGAGCATGGGTCTGCTGAGGCTCCACTGGTTGGCACAGTCCTCGAATAACACGATCTCGAACAGCGTCTTGAGGATCTGGAGGTAGCACGTGGAGAACAGGGGGAGCAGAGAGAGCAGAAAGAGAAGCAAGAGCAGAAAGAATGGAGAGAGCAGAGCAGGCAAGGCAAGGAGAGGAAGAGGAGATGAAGGCAGACGGACAGCGTGGGTCCAGTCCAGTCCACCCCTTGCACTCCTCTAGTTGGCCAAGTAGTGGATTGTGAGTTGACTTTTGAGTCGACTCAAAAGTCAACTCGGAAGAGGAGATGAAGGCAGCGGGACAGCGTGGGTCCAGTCCACCCCTTGCACTCCTCTAGTTGGCCAAGTAGTGGATTGTGAGCTCGAATGGGACCACCATCACCAACAGCTTGGAGAGATATCAAGTGGAATGTAGGGATCAGCTTGCCTCGGGAAAGAGTGTGGGGCACTCAGCCAAGTGTTGCGCGATGGTGAGAGCGGCAGGCGAGGAGGGTGCATCCCCTGCCGTGACGTTGTTGAAATAGTAGGCTGCTAGATTGTCCACTGCTGAGGCACACTGGAGAGACGTGGGTGGTGGGGGGGAAAAGGAGGCGAGGACAGAGTTTAGAGCAGCTGGACTGAAAAGGACATCCCCTGCCGTGGCGTTGTTGAAATAGTAGGCTGCTAGATTGTCCACTGCTGAGGCACACTGGATTGAAGAAGTTTGGAGGGCGGGAGAGAAGGGAGGGAGGACAGATTCAAGAGAGGTTGGAGAGGAGGGTGCATCCGCTGCTGTGACGTTGTTGAAGTAGTCGGCTGCTAGGTTGTCCACTGCTGAGGCGCACTGGATTGACGCGTACGGGGGCGGGAAACGAGGGAGGGGAGGACAGATTCAAAGGGTTGAAAAGAAGGGTGTGTCCCCTGCTGTGACGTTGTTGAAGTAGTCGGCTGCTAGATTTTCCACTGCTGAGGCACACTGGAGTGATGTGGACGGGAGGAGGGGAAAGGAAAAGGGGAAAGTGTAGGGTATTCTTTTTTAGGTGCATGGTAAGAGTGCATCCCCTCCGCTGTCACAAACACTGAAAAAAGGAGTGTTTTGAGACGTCTCAAAACATTCCTTTTTTTTAGGTGTATGGTAAGAGTGCATCCCCCCCGCTGTCACAAACACTCCCACCATGCGATCTCGACTGAACCCTTCCCTCTCTTTCCACTCCCGCACTCCTCACCTTAGACGAAATGGAGACGTCTAGGCACTAGAGAGGCCTGTGTCCAGCGACCCCACCACGTGCCCGAACGACGTGCAGCCTGACTTTTGAGTCGACTCAAAAGTCACCAGCGACCCCACCACGTGCCCGAACGACGTGCAGCCTGACTTTTGAGTCGACTCAAAAGTCACCAGCGACCCCACCACGTGCCCGAACGACGTGCAGCCTGACTTTTGAGTCGACTCAAAAGTCACCAGCGACCCCACCACATGCCCGAACGACGTGCAGCCTGACTTTTGAGTCGGCTCAAAAGTCATCAGCGACCCCACCACATGCCCGAACGACGTGCAGCCAAAGACACACCCGGATTCCACCCTCCCAACCAACCCTCTCCCTCAACCCCCATGCCCCCATACACCTGAGACGAAATGGAGACGTCCAGGCGAAATGGAGCCCTGTATCCAGCGACGCCACCAGGTGGCTGAACGGTGTGCTACCATCCACATACCCACCCCACCCTACGATTCAGACCCAACCCTCTTTCTGAACCAACACCCCTCACCTGAGATGAGATGGAAACGTCCGGGCACTTGAGCCCTGTATCCAGCGACGCCACCAGGTGGCTGAACGGTGTGCTAACATCAGGACACACCAACCAGACCCAACCCTCCCCCTCACTCCCCACACCCCACTCACCTGTGAGGAGATCGAAACATCAAGGCACTTGAGCCCTGTATCCAGCGACCCCACCAGGTGGCTGAACGTGGCGGTGGGCAGATTGATGATGACGAGAGTGTGGTTGTGACAGAGGACCTCTAGGAAGGCGAAATATGCGCGGGCGAGCTGCGGGGGTTTTGGGAGGGAAGAGAATGGGTGGGTGGATGGGAAGAGTGGGAACGTGGTGGTGGGCAGGTTGATGATGACGAGCGTGTGGTTGTGGCACAGCACCTCCAAGAAAGCAAAGTAGGCCTGGGCGAGCTGTGGTGTGGGGTGTAAGAAGGGTGGCATGGGAGTCAGGAGTCAAAAGAGAAGGTGGGTGGCTGAAATTGGCTGTGGGCAGGTTGATGATCACGATCGTGTGGTTGTGACACAGCACTTCCAGAAAGGCGAAATATGCCCGCGCCAACTGTGGGGGGGTGTAACGGAAGAGAGTGGGAGACAGGAGTCAAAAGAGAAAGGTGGCTGAACGTGGATGAGATAGATTTTGATGCGCCTCAAAAGGGCGGAGAGGCATAGAGAGGAGAGGACCACAACAGACCTTTCTGAAGCCCGTATTCTCAGGAAGACAGGTGGAGAAGAGGAGACATCGACAAACGAACCTTTCTGAAGGCCATGATTTCAGGCAGAGGGATGGAGAGGCAGAGCTTGAGGGCCACGTCGAGAGCATCGGGCAGGGCAGTGTCTCCATACAGCTCCATGACTCCAAAGTTGACGTAGTTCCCTGCCAGGGCTGCATGGTGGGGCACAGGGGATGGGGCAGGAAAGAGGGGAGAGAGGGGCGTAGGAAGAGAAGAGGGGGGAAGGGGCCGGGGGGTTCATGGGCATCGGGCAGCGCAGTGTCTCCATACAGCTCCATTGCTCCGAAATTGATGTAGTTGCCTGCCTGGGCTGAGGCAAGGCAGGTGGATTACCGGGTGAAAGGGAATGGGAAGAAGGTGGCATATTATGGGGTTCATGAGCATCGGGCAGGGCAGTGTCTTGTCTCCGTGCAGCTCCATTACAAATTGACTTATGAGTCGACTCAAAAGTCAAGTCATTACAGGGTGAAAGGGAATGGGAAGAAGGGGGCATATCATTGGGTTCATTCATGAGCATCGGGCAGGGCCGTGTGTCCGTACAGCTCCATTACAAATTGACATACTTTCCCGCGAGGGCTGCATGGAGTGAAACACATTTGGTGGGTTGGAAGGCGGAAGGGGGACTGGTGTTCTAAGGTGCTTTACAGCAAAAGCAGTACCACCATACAGTAAGGTGCTTCAGGGTGTATAGGCATAAATGCACACCAAAGGATCATGTCTGCTGTGAAAGCATGCTGAGCATTACCTCTCGTGAGCACAGTGAGTGCGATCCACACGCCCTTGTACTTGGCCGTGTAAGGGTGTGCGCCGGTGGGCATGGCAAGGGCGTGCTTGCCGTACGTCACCACCAGCTTGGAAGCTTCCCGGAAGAGCAGGATGCCATTTGGCGACGACGAGTCAAAGGTGAGGCGCTGCGTCTTGTTGACCACGAATTCGGCAAAGAACTTGAGGAGAGGCGTGGTGACCGCGGGGGTGTCGGACCAGAACTGGGCGGTGAGCAGAATGAGCGGCATGTGGGCCGGGTACAGCCAGTCAAAGAGCAGCCCGAACGTGCGCCGGCTGCCATGGGGTGGGGGGGGGAGAGCAGGTCACGACGAACGCAGGAAATAACAAGGGATGAGGGCGGGGTATAGCCAGTCAGAAGAGCAGCCTGCAGGTGAGTCAAAGGTGAGGCGCTGCGTCTTGTTGACCACGAATTCAGCAAAGAACTTGATGAGGGGCGTGGTGACCTGGTGGAGGGAAGGGAACACAAGGGAGGTATGGCAGGGGAACGGGTGAGGCGCTGCGTCTTGTTGACCACAAACTCGGCGAAGAACTTGAGGAGCGGCGTGGTGACCGCGGGGGTGTCGGACCAGAACTGGGCGGTGCGCAGAATGAGCGGCATGTGGGCGGGGTAGAGCCAGTCAAACAGCAGCCCGAACGTGCGCCGGCTGTCATGGGGGGGGTCAAACGGGTGTGGGAGGGGAGGGGAGGGGAGGGGAGGGGAGGGGAGGGGAGGGGAGGGGAGGGGAGGGGAGGGGAGGGGAGAGGAGGGGAGGAGAGGGGAGGGGAGGCGAGGGGAGGGGAGGGGAGGGGAGGGGAGAGGAGGGGAGGGGATGGGAGGGGAGGCGAGGGGAGGGGAGGGGAAGAGCGGGTCAGGGCGGAAGGAGAAAAAGGGCATGTAGACGGGGTAGATTCGGTGCGACGGGTGAAGGGGGTAAAAAAATACAGATGTTTTACAGCACTTACTGGGAGATAATGTAGATCGTCACATAGTGCAGCAACAATTACTAGATGATACAATAACAGCTTGTACTGGTACCTGTTAAGTGACTTTTGAGTCGACTCAAAAGTCAAAAGTCACCTTTTGAGTCGACTCAAAAGTCACATAGTGCAGCAACAATCACTGGATGATAGAATAACAGCTTGTACTGGTACCTGTTGGTGGCCATGGTGATTCCTCTCAAGTCTCTGAAGAGGGCGATGAGGGCGAACTTGATCAGCTGATGATGGTACACCATGGTCCATGTACTCAGCACAAGTCAAGTCACGCTGGCTAAGGCAAAATGCTCGTTGCCTACCTGTTGGTGGCCATGGTGATTCCTCTCAAGTCTCTGAAGAGGCCGATGAGGGCGAACTTGACTGGCTCTGTGCGGAAGGAGGCGTCTGGCATAGACTCCAGCTTCACAAACACCTGTGTGGTGGTGAGGGGTGATGAGGGGTGGCGAATGGTGTAGGGATAGGGGTCAGCACATGCTTTGACTGGCTTGCTGCAGGAAGGTGCATCTGGCATTGGCTCGAGCTTCACGAACACCTGGGTGGTGAGGGGTGATGAGGGGTGATGAGGGGTGCGGTGCGGCGAGAGGGAGGGTTGGGAGTGAAGTAGACGATGGCATGATCGATTGGACTGGCAGTTGAAAGGCAGCTGGTGGAAAGTACCCAAGACGATGCTTGGCTGTCATACCAAGGCAAAGCGCTCACCAGCTGAAGAGGTGCCACGAATGCTTTGATGAACTTCTGGGGCGAGTCTTCCATGAAAAGGAGGCGTGTGAGCGTGAAGCAGAAGATGGTGCGGTTGGCCTTTACACCTTGCTAGGCTGTGAGTCTGTGACGCCTGTGACACACCAGCGCCTTACCAGCTGAAGAGGTGCCATAAAGGCTTTGAACTTCTAGGGCGAGCCTTCCATGAAGAGCAGGCGTGTGAGAGTGAAGTGGGAGATGGTGGGATTGGCCTTTACCTGATTCCTTGCTAGCCGGTGAGTCCTGACAGACCAACGCCTTACCAGCTGAAGGGGAGCCACGAAGGCTTTGAACTTCTGGGGCGAGTCCTCCATGAATAGGAGGCGCGTGAGAGTGAAGTAGAAGATGGTGCGGTTGGCCTTTACCCCTTGCTACACGGTAAGTCTGTGACGCCTGTGACAGACCAGCGCCTTACCAGCTGCAGAGGGGCCACGAAGGCTTTAAACTTCTGGGGCGAGTCCTCCATGAAGAGGAGGCGGGTGAGGGTGAAGTAGAAGATGGTGCGATTGCGCGTGCTGCTCGGCTCGTCCAGGAAGGGGAAGTGCTCGCTCTGCCAATCACAGCAGGACGCATGGCAGGGCAGCAATGGAGATCAGGGGGCAGGGTGTGGCATTGGAGCAGATCTAAACCAGCCATTCCTGACGATCCAATGGCTAGAAACAACTGCAGGCAAGACCATAAACACGCGGCCAATTGGATGTGATGGGGCACACAAAAGGTGCTTAATCGGATTTTCACGTGCTTTTATGGGGTTGCAAACCAGATGCACACACTCGCACGTGCGCATACACGCACACACCTCCTCTCTCCCCTTCTTGAACCCTGCACTTACTGTGTGATTGGCTAGGATAAAATTGACAGAGTCCAGTTTCAACAGCAGCTTGCCACTCATGTAGCTGAGAGAGAGGGGTGAGAGAGAGGAATAAAAGATTTGGAGAAGGAATTCAAAGGAGAGAAATTGGTGGCAGGAGCAGCACAAGTGGGCTGGAAAGGGAGGAGTGTGGATGGGTGGGAGGGAAAGAGGGAGCAGCGCATGGGGCAAGACTATGGGTAGGTGAAAGGGATGGTAAACATGAAGAAAGTAGTGCAATGAGAACCAAATAGGTATCCAACCATTAAGAATTTCATCCCAGTTTTAACTCTAGCCCCCCTTTCCCCCCCCTTCCCCCCACCACCCAAACTCACCCCCCTGCAAGCTCTTGGAAAAGGTTCAACGTTTGTTCGATCACGTCCTCGCTCTGATACCAGTAGAGGGAGAGGGGTGATAGAGAGATATTGGTAGAGTGGTGTTAATTAGAAAACATTCCGGGCGGAAAAAGTGGCAACAGCTGCGAAACGGGAGAAGGAAAGCACGGGAAGAGAATGTGAAAAAAAAGCGGCTGAATATCCCACCTTGGTGTAGCACTTGAGGTTGGTTGCTATCTTTGCCACAATCACGTTGAGAACCATCAAGTGATCTTGCAGGCCTCGTGATAGCTTATCCCGGCATGGAAAACAGCACACGCACCTTGGTGTAGCACTTGAGGTTGGTTGCTATCTTTGCCACAATCACGTTGAGAACCATCAGGTGATCTTGCAAGCCTCATGATAGCTTATCCCGGCATGGAAAACAGCACACGCACCTTGGTGTAGCACTTGAGGTTGGTGGCTATCTTTGCTACAATCACGTTGAGAACCATCAGGTGGTCTTGCAAGCCCAGTAGGTCAGCCAGGCGGGCATAGAGGATCTGTGAAGGGAGGGAAGGAGGATGAGCAAGGGTGAGAGGGGGCGGGGAGTCGAGGAGTGAGGGAGAGGGAGGAGGGATGAAGCAGCAGGTAAGAGGGCACCATCACATCAGGTGATCTTGCAGACCCAGCAGGTCTGCCAGGCGGGCATAGAGAATCTGTGAAGGGAGGTCACACGAGAGGGAAAAAGACACGGGGAAGGGTTAAAAATTGAACGCCTTGGCTTGGAAGCTGAGTCACCTGAGGACCTGCACGCCCAGACATGTCACCTAGATGAGTGAGCGAGCCCAGACAGGGCTAAAAGTTGAACACCTTGGCTTGGACGCGTGCATGGTCCGATCGCCCAATGTGACCATCATCAGGTACACACTACACTAAATGTGCGACAAGCAAGACAGCCATGTAGCCTGTGCTGCTACAACCTAGACATGACCAGTCACCTGCGAGCCGAGGCACGGGAGAATGAGGTCCACCTTGGAGGCGTGCATGGTCCGATCGCCCAATGTGACCATCATCAGGTACACACTACACTAAATGTGCGACAAGCAAGACAGCCATGTAGCCTGTGCTGCTACAACCTAGACATGACCAGTCACCTGCGAGCCGAGGCACGGGAGAATGAGGTCCACCTTGGAGGCGTGCATGGTCCGATCGCCCAATGTGACCATCATCAGGTACACACTACACTAAATGTGCGACAAGCAAGACAGCCATGTAGCCTGTGCTGCTACAACCTAGACATGACCAGTCACCTGCGAGCCGAGGCACGGGAGAATGAGGTCCACCTTGGAGGCGTGCATGGTCCGATCGCCCAATGTGACCATCATCAGGTACACACTACACTAAATGTGCGACAAGCAAGACAGCCATGTAGCCTGTGCTGCTACAACCTAGACATGACCAGTCACCTGCGAGCCGAGGCACGGGAGAATGAGGTCCACCTTGGAGGCGTGCATGGTCCAATCGCCCAATGTGACCATCATCAGGTACACACTACACTAAATGTGCGACAAGCAAGACAGCCATGTAGCCTGTGCTGCTACAACCTAGACATGACCAGTCACCTGCGAGCCGAGGCACGGGAGAATGAGGTCCACCTTGGAGGCGTGCATGGTCCGATCGCCCAATGTGACCATCATCAGGTACACACTACACTAAATGTGCGACAAGCAAGACAGCCATGTAGCCTGTGCTGCTACAACCTAGACATGACCAGTCACCTGCGAGCCGAGGCACGGGAGAATGAGGTCCACCTTGGAGGCGTGCATGGTCCGATCGCCCAATGTGACCATCATCAGGTACACACTACACTAAATGTGCGACAAGCAAGACAGCCATGTAGCCTGTGCTGCTACAACCTAGACATGACCAGTCACCTGCGAGCCGAGGCACGGGAGAATGAGGTCCACCTTGGAAGCGTGCATGGCATGGCCTGGTCGCCCACACAGCGACCTACAGCTGCAAGTGCCCATAGTGGTCGTGCTACAGCCATGTGGCGTGTGATACAACTTAACCTAACCATGCATGTCACCTTGGCGCCCAGAAAGGGCAGAATGAGGTCCATCTTGGAGGCGTGCATGGCCTGGTCGCCAACGTAGCGACCTACCAGCTACAGGTAAGAGAGCTACCTTGGGCCCACGCACAGCGACCATGGCATGCATGTCACCTTGGCACCCAGGCATGGCTCAACGGTGTCCACCTCGGAGGCGTGCATGGCCTGGTCGCCCACGTAGACAGCAGCATCAGGAACGTACACTAGACGTGTTACCTCAGCATGCATGTCACCTTGGCACCCAGGCATGGCTCAACGGTGTCCACCTTGGAGGCGTGCATGGCCTGGTCGCCCACGTAGACGCGGCGGAAGTTCTGAAAGAAGGAGAGCACCGCCAGGTCCAACCGCTGCTTGCTGCGCTCGTCGTAGCGCTGAGAGGAGATAAAAAGAGTACGAGGGAGAGAGGGAAGGAAAGGAAAGGATGGGGAATGGAAGAGATGGTTGAATTCTGAAAGAAGGAGAGCACCGCGAAATCCAACCGCTGCTTGCTGCGCTCGTCGTAGCGCTGGGGGGGAGAAGGAGGTGGATATCAATGGGCAGGGGCAAGCGCAGGCACGAGAAGAGAGATGTGACTGAGTAGCAGTAGAGGAGAGCGCTGCAGAGTCCAATTGCTGCCTGCTGCACTCACCGTAGCACAGCAGTAGGCATGCACGGCAGCATCAAGCCGTCGTCCATACTAGCAACCCCTCAGCCAGGCCCCACCTGTGCGTGCAGCCCTCCTCACCTGTGCGTGCAGCCCTCCTCACCTGTGCGTGCAGCCCTCCTCACCTGTGCGTGCAGCCCTCCTCACCTGTGCATGGAGTCCTGTGTCGGTGACTTGAATGAGCTGGAACACCCTTGCAGGCCATCTTACTTGCACTCCTTCGCACTACCCTCAAGCACAACTCTCAAGCACCCATCCACCTCCATGCCCTCCTCACCTGTGCATGGAGTCCTGTGTCGGTGACTTGAATGAGCTGGAACACCCTTGCTGCCAGCCGGCATGCATGTATGCGCCCCCCCTGACCTGCAGTCCTTCGTATTACCCGTCAGGCACCCCTTTCAAGCGCCACCTTTTGTCACGCCCCTCAGTCACCCTCCTCACCTGTGCATGGAGTCCTGTGTCGGTGACTTGAATGAGCTGGAACACCCTTGCTGCCAGCCGGCATGCATGTATGCGCCCCCCCTGACCTGCAGTCCTTCGTATTACCCGTCAGGCACCCCTTTCAAGCGCCACCTTTTGTCACGCCCCTCAGTCACCCTCCTCACCTGTGCATGGAGTCCTGTGTCGGTGACTTGAATGAGCTGGAACACCCTTGCTGCCAGCCGGCATGCATGTATGCGCCCCCCCTGACCTGCAGTCCTTCGTATTACCCGTCAGGCACCCCTTTCAAGCGCCACCTTTTGTGACGCCCCTCAGTCACCCTCCTCACCTGTGCATGGAGTCCTGTGTCGGTGACTTGAATGAGCTGCAATACCCTTGCTGCCAGCTCCCCATCAATCAGCTCCTGTGAATCGCCACTGCAAGTTTTCTCGGAATTCAGTCAGCGTGAGTGAGGGAGGGAGGGAGGGAGGGAGGGAGGGAGGGAGGGAGGGAGGGAGGGAGGGAGGGAGGGAGGGAGGGAGGGAGGGAGGGAAGGAGGGAGTGAGCATGTGACAGAATGAGAGAGTGAAGGAATAGGAGTGTGAAAAGGTAGCTAGCACTGCATCAGCTGCTGCTATTTGCCACTACCTATACCAAAGGAATCAAGTAGGAAAGACGAATACTGAGTGAGTGAGTGAGGGAGGGAGTGAGTGAGTGAGGGAGTGAGCGAGGGAGCACCTGCTGGAGCTGAGTCGGCCCCGGACAATGGCGCCAATGATGTGCACAATCCACGTCAGCTGGCTTTCCATCACCTGTAGCGCCGCCTGGCTGCTGCTGCTCGCCGCTACAGCCGGCTGCCACCGTGCCGCCTCCTAAGATGGTGGAAGATGGGGGTTGGGAAGGGGAAGGAGCAGGGTTGATTGGCTCTTATCACCTGTAGCGCCGCCTGGCTGCTGCTGCTCGCCGCTACAGCCGGCTGCCACCGTGCCGCCTCCTAAGATGGTGGAAGATGGGGGTTGGGAAGGGGAAGGAGCAGGGTTGATTGGCTCTTATCACCTGTAGCGCTGCCTGGCTGCTGCTGCTCGCTGATACAGGCGGCTCACTGCGCCGCCTCCTGTGATAATTAAAATTGAAAGAGGGGGGGTGCGGGGGAGGGTGGGATGGAGAGGGAAGGGAAGGAGCGGGGAAGAGCGACTGCCCCAGCCTCCTGGCTCTCCATCAGCTGTAGCGCTGTTTTTTGAGAATTCTCAAAACACACGCTCTGGCTCTCCATCAGCTGTAGCGCTGCTTTTTGAGAATTCTCAAAACACATGCTCTGGCTCTCCATCAGCTGTAGCGCTGCTTTTTGAGAATTCTCAAAACACACGCTCTGGCTCTCCATCAGCTGTAGCGCTGCTTTTTGAGAATTCTCAAAACACACGCTCTGGCTCTCCATCAGCTGTAGCGCTGCTTTTTGAGAACTCTCAAAACACACGCTCTGGCTCTCCATCAGCTGTAGCGCTGCTTTTTGAGAATTCTCAAAACACACACTCTGGCTCTCCATCAGCTGTAGCGCTGTTTTTGAGATATCTCAAAACACACGCTCTGGCTCTCCATCAGCTGTAGCGCTGCTTTTTGAGAATTCTCAAAACACACGCTCTGGCTCTCCATCAGCTGTAGCGCTGCTTTTTGAGAATTCTCAAAACACACGCTCTGGCTCTCCATCAGCTGTAGCGCTGCTTTTTGAGAATTCTCAAAACACACGCTCTGGCTCTCCATCAGCTGTAGCGCTGCCTGGTTTGTGCTGCTCGTTGCTACAGCTGGCTGCCACCGCACCGCCTCCTAAGATGGTGGAAGAGGGGGAGGGTCACATGTTGTAATGACTGACAACGAGCGCGGACACAGGGTCTACGAGCAGCAAGGCAGAGACTTGTCAGCACTACCAGCACTACCAGCACTACCAGCACTACCAGCACTACCAGCACTACCAGCACTACCAGCACTACCAGCACTACCAGCACTACCAGCACTACCAGCACTACCAGCACTACCAGCACTACCAGCACTACCAGCACTACCAGCACTACCAGCACTACCAGCACTACCAGCACTACCAGCACTACCAGCACTACCAGCACTACCAGCACTACCAGCACTACCAGCACTACCAGCACTACCAGCACTACCAGCACTACCAGCACTACCAGCACTACCAGCACTACCAGCACTACCAGCACTACCAGCACTACCAGCACTACCAGCACTACCAGCACTACCAGCACTACCAGCACTACCAGCACTACCAGCACTACCAGCACTACCAGCACTACCAGCACTACCAGCACTACCAGCACTACCAGCACTACCAGCACTACCAGCACTACCAGCACTACCAGCACTACCAGCACTACCAGCACTACCAGCACTACCAGCACTACCAGCACTACCAGCACTACCAGCACTACCAGCACTACCAGCACTACCAGCACTACCAGCACTACCAGCACTACCAGCACTACCAGCAATACCAGCAATACCCCATAGCAGTGTAAGGGTCAGACTCACCGTATATGACTGCATGATGGGCTCTAGATGGCTGATGATGAACTTGCTGGTCCGGTCAAACTGCAGAGAAGGCAAGCAGAAACGAGAGAGGAGTGAGAGGTGAGGGAAAGACGATCACATATTGCTGTGAAGAATTGTAGCCTATAGCTGAAGGGAGACTTTTCAGACATCTGTTCATACCTGGAACCTGCAGAGGTAAGGGAGGTTGTCTAGCTGGTCCTGTAGCTGCTCGTCATTGTTCAACACGCGCGCAAACATGCGCGTCGTTCAAGGAAAAACAGCAACACGTGTATGTATGCGTACCTGGAACCGGCAGAGGTAGGGGAGATTGTCTAGCTGGTCTTGTAGCTGCTCGTCGTTGTCCAGCGCACAACCCCCCCTCTTCCCCCCCCCCTCTTTCACCCACACATACAGAGCTGAAGCCTGACGGGAAAGCAGCACGTGCATACATACCTGGAACCGGCAGAGGTAGGGGAGATTGTCTAGCTGGTCTTGTAGCTGCTCGTCGTTGTCCAGCGGATCCTCTGATAGGTTGTTCTGAAGCACTGCCTATAAGGGGGATAAAACCAAGCAGCATAACGTCAAACACTGAATTGACAGAAGAACAGCCTTGTGCATTATGCTATGCACCATAAAGTCTGGAATCTGAAGCACCATGCGCCATGCTCCATGCATCTTGCCCCATGCACCACGCATCTTAACCCATGAACCCCCCCCCCCCCCCCAACCCATTTTTTTTTCTTCGTTTTTGTAGGTGACTGCCAACCTGAACGGAGTCGAGGCGGGATGTTATGTAAGCCTCCGTAATCTGAGGCACAAAGTTGTCGAGTAGGCTGGGGCAGTCGCTCTTGGTGTAGGCCATTGAGGAGACCAGGCGCGACCAGAGGCCCAGCAGGAAATACACACTGCCACTCGCCCACTGGTGAGGGGAGTTTGGGGTGGGAGAGAGGGTTGGGGTGGGGAGGAAAATGTGGAAGGAGAGGAGCAGGGGGCCGCAGGGGGGAAGCAGGAAGGTAAAATGGGCCAAGGAGGGGCGCATGAGTGTGCTTGGAACAGAGAGAGCTGTGCAGGTGTCAGCTGGCTGGGGCAGTCACTCTTGGTGTAGGCCATTGAGGAGACCAGACGCGACCAGAGGCCCAGCAGGAAATACACACTGCCACTCGCCCACTGGTGGGGTGGGGTGGGGACGAGGGAGAAAGAGGGGGGGGATTGTATATGGGTGGTGGAGTGAGCAAGGGGAAAGCAAGTAGTTGGTCTTGAGGCGGCCCGGCAGGCGGCAGTACTCGTGGTAGTTGTCGTGCTGCGACAGGCCCTCTCACCCACCCACCCGTGGCTCACAGCACATCAACCCCACCCACCGCACCAAATTCACCACCCAATCCCACCCAACCCCACCCAACCCCACCCAACCCCACCCAATCCCACCCAGCCCCCACCCAACCCCACCCAACCCCACCCAACCCCACCCAGCCCAACCCACCCACGCACCTGCCAGGACTGCAGCGAGGTGATGGTAAACTCGGCTACAAGCTGCACCCACTCGGCATAATTGTCTGCATTCACCAGCTCAGCGAGCTGGTAGTTGGCCCCTTAGGTGATGTATGGGTGCACCTGTGACACGAAAGCAACCCCACCCCACCCACTCCACGCACCTGCCAGGACTGCAGCGAGGTGATTGTAAACTCGGCTACAAGCTGCACCCACTCGGCATAATTGTCTGCGTTCACCAGCTCGGCCAGCTGGTAGTTGGTCTTGAGGCGGCCCAGCAGGCGGCAGTACTCATGGTAGTTGTCGTGCTGCGACAGGCCCTGCTTGGAGCGCAGGATCTCCGTGGAACCGTTCATGAGGTGCGAGAGGAACTTGAGGCGCTCTGCCTCGCCTGTGAAGAGCGACCGGCGGACCGAGGCTAGACGCACCAAGCATTCCAAAGCCTGAAAAAGGCGTCAATACAGGGACAGGGGGGTGGGGACAGACGGGCGAACGGTGGGGGGAGGTGGAACGGGGAACAGAGGAGGGGAAGAGGGGTGGTTTGGGGGTTGGGGTGCTATGGGTGGTTGTTGTCGTGCTGCGACAGGCCCTGCTTGGAGCGCAGGATCTCCGTGGAGCCGTTCATGAGGTGCGAGAGGAACTTGAGGCGCTCTGCCTCGCCTGTGAAGAGCGACCGGCGGACCGAGGCTAGACGCACCAAGCATTCCAAAGCCTGGCGGGAGTGGGGAGAGAGATGGGGAGAAGGCGGCAGGACAAGGGGCAGGGGGAGAAAAAGGCGGACAGGGTCTCCGTGGAGCAGTTCATGAGGTGCGACAGGAACTTGAGGCGCTCTGCTTCCCCTGTGAAGAGTGACCGGCGCACTGAAGCTAGACGCACAAGGCACTCCAAGGCCTGAGAAAAGAGGCGCAAACACAGGGGAAAGGTTGAACGGGAACCGCAGGATCTCCGTGGAGCCGTTCATGAGGTGCGACAGGAACTTGAGGCGCTCTGCTTCCCCTGTGAATAGCGACCGACGCACTGAAGCTAGGCGCACCAGGCACTCCAGGGCCTGAGGAAACAGGAGCCAATACAGGGGCAGGGGGTTTATGGGGGGACGGGGGACAGAGGAGGGAAGTGTGGGGGCTAGGGAAAGATAGATGGTGTGGGGGCTAGGGAAAGACGGAGGCTAGACGCACCAGGCACTCCAGGGCCTGAGGAAACAGGAGCCAATACAGGGGCAGGGGGTTTATGGGGGAACGGGGGACAGAGGAGGGAAAGACAGGTGGTATGGGGGCTGGGGTGCTCTCCGTGAGTGTCAACTTGTCGTGCTGCGACAGGCCCTGCTTGGAGCGCAGGATCTCTGTGGAGCCGCTCATGAGGTGCGAGAGGAACTTGAGGCGCTCTGCCTCGCCTGTGAATAGGTAGTGGCGGACCGAGGCCAGACGCACCAGGCACTCCAAGGCCTGGGGGAGGGGTAGTGGGAGGGAATAGGGACAGAGGAGGGTTGGGGGGTGCATAGAAACTAGACACACCAAGCACTCAAAGGCCTGAGGGGAGTGGGGAGAAACGGGGACAGGTAAAGTGGCAAGCTAGACGCACCAGGCACCCATGGGCCCTGGTGAGTAGAGATAGGGAAGAGGCGGGTGGAGTTGGCTTTGAGCTGACCTGGTTGGAGAGCGGGGGCTTGGTGGCCGCATAGTAGTCGAAGAAGAGCTGCATGGTGGCCGTGTCCTCCAGCACTGCCCTCCACGACGACGGCACCTGGATGGTTCCCAGCTCCTCCGAGCTCTCGTCCAGTGACGTCCCGACAAAGTCGAACGAGAGGCAGCGCAGCGCCAGGGATACCGCTTCCGCCCTCAGCTTGTCGTCAGCTGGAGGGGAGGGAGGGGGTAGGGGGAGGGGGTTGGACGAGTTGAGGGAGCGATGGAGAAGGCACCTGGATGGTTCCCAGCTCCTCTGAGCTCTCGTCCAGTGACGTCCCCACGAAGTCAAAGGAGAGGCAGCGCAGGCGAGAGAGACTGCTTCCGCCCTCAGCTTGTCGTCAGCTGGAGGGGAAGAAGAGGGCAGGGGGAAGGGGGCTGGTTGGGTTGATCGTGAAGGAGAGACGGAGACGGCACCTGGATGGTTCCCAGCTCCTCTGAGCTCTCGTCCAATGACGTCCCGACAAAGTCGAACGAGAGGCAGCGCAGCGCCAGGGATACCGCTTCCGCCCTCAGCTTCTCATCGGCTGGAGGGGAGGAGGTGAGAGGGATGATGGAAGTGAAGAACGGACGAGGGAGGTGAGAGTGAGGATGAGGGAGAGGCAGCGCAGCGCCAGGGAGACTGCTTACGCCCTCAGCTTGTCATCCGCTGCAGGGTGTTGAGTTGAAATTCATGGAAAAAAAACGGGAAAGCAGGGATGTGAGAACGAAGTCAAAGGATAGGCAGCGGAGAGCCAGGGAGTCTGCTTCTGCCCGCAGCTTGCCATCAGCTGGAGGAAAGAACGAGAGGGCAAGGAGTGGGGACGCAGGGGAGGGAGGTGAGAGTGAAGCTGAAGGGACAAGCAGTGCTGCAGAGCGAGGGAGCGCAGGCTGGTGAGGCCAAGCATCAGGTGCGCGGGAGCGAACATGGCTAAGCGGGCCAAGCACTGGCCTTGGGATTGTCGGGTTGGGTTCAAGTGAAGAAAGGTGGGTTGAAGCGAACGGCAACTCACCGTCAGACTGCAGCTGTCTGAGGCTGGTGAGGGAGATCTGGAAGATGGCAAAGAGCGCCAGGTCTCGAAAGGAGCAGGCTGTCTTGCGGTGGAAGGTTAGGGACCGGCCTGGACTAGGCTGCAAGCAAGCAGGTAGGAAGAATGAGTGGAGAAAGCAGCGCAAGAACGGGCAATTTGACACAGTCGGGATTTAGAGAAAAAAAAAAAAAAAAAAAAAAAAAAAAAAAGGGCAAGGAGAAGGCTGCCTAGAGTCCGCAGGGCTTTTAGGTGATATCAGGATGCCACTTCCATCCCTCCATGCTAGACTTGGCAGATGTAGATAGGTTATCACTATCAGCCCTCCCAGCACTCCCAGCCCCAGCTAGACTTGGCAGATTGGCATATCAGGCTTTTGAGGCGGCATGAGCGTTACAGAAAACAGTCCACCCATGCACATGCACATGCACATGCACGCACCTGGTTCATCTCTGCCACGAGCTGGTTGAAAATCTTGAGCCCTAGGAAGAAATGCTCCGCTGTGCCCTGCATGTCATGCCGTGCCATGCCATGCCATGCCAGGGAACGAACACACAGACAAGCACAAGCACACACACACATACACACACACACACACACGCACGCACACACACACACACAAACACACACGCACGCACACACACACACACAAACACACACGCACACACACACACACACACACAAACACACACACACACACACACACACACACACAAACACACACGCACACACACACACACACACGCACAATGCAGTGAGCAAGGCACCGCAATGACATGCAATGCGTGGTTACTGCGGGATGGCAGGGAGGGAGAACAGTGAGCAGAGGGTGCACATGCACATGCACAGCCATTGAACGCAATGCAATTCCATGCAAGACACACACCCGCAATTTCTGCAGAAGCACATGCACGCACACCTGCACGCACACCTGCAAGCACACTTGCACCCACACCTGCACGCACACCTGCACGCACACCTGCAAGCACACCTGCAAGCACACCTGCAAGCACACAAGCACCTGCAGTCACACGCACCTGCAATGCAATCACACGCACTTGCAATCACACGCACCTGCAATCACACTCACCTGCAATCACACTCACCTGCAATCACACGCACCTGCAATCACACTCACCTGCAATCACACGCACTTGCAATCACACGCACCCGCGTGAGGAACTTGGTGCATTCGTCCACGATGTCTCTGAACCGCTCATCGTCATACCACCCGAGCTTGAAGCAGCTGCACCAAAGACGACTGGTTCAACCATATGTACCTGTAAACTCTAGACAACCACACGCACCTGCAAGCACATGACGCACGCACCTGTGCGAGGAACTTGGTGCATTCGTCCACGATGTCTCTGAACCGCTCGTCGTCGTACCACCCAAGCTTTGAGATCCGGCACAGCAGCTGCACCAGAGACGCTGTTACGAAGGACTCCGCCTTGGGACCCTTAGTGGCCAGAAAAGACACCACGTAGTTGCCTGGAGGGAGGGACAAAACCCACAATCAAGGAAGGAAAAGCGCGACCTGATAGCCTGAAGTAGGAGATCTGGCACAGCAATTGCACCGGAGATGCCGTTACGAAGGACTCCGCCTTGGGACCCTTAGTGGCCAGGAAAGACGCCACGTAGTTGCCTGGAAGGAGAAACCGGACCCACACACAAAAACAAAACCCACAAGGAAGGAAGGAGAAAAGCTTCTTGAGACCCGACACAGCAGCTGCAGTAGAGAAAGGGCTGCAGCTGCAGTAGAGAAAGGGCTGCAGCTGCAGTAGAGAAAGGGCTGCAGCTGCAGTAGAGAAAGGGCCGCAGCTGCAGTAGAGAAAGGGCTGCAGCTGCAGTAGAAACGCTGTCACAAAGGGCTCCGCCTTGGGACCCTTAGTGGCCAGGAAAGACGCCACGTAGTTGCCTGGAAGGAGAAACCGGACCCACACACAAAAACAAAACCCACAAGGAAGGAAGGAGAAAAGCTTCTTGAGACCCGACACAGCAGCTGCAGTAGAGAAAGGCCTGCAGCTGCAGTAGAGAAAGGGCTGCAGCTGCAGTAGAGAAAGGGCTGCAGCTGCAGTAGAGAAAGGGCTGCAGCTGCAGTAGAGAAAGGGCTGCAGCTGCAGTAGAAACGCCGTCACAAAGGGCTCCGCCTTGGGACCCTTGGCGGCCAGGAAGGACACCACGTAGTTGCCTGGAGGGAGGGACAACACCCACAATCAAGGAAGGAAAAGCGCGATCTGATAGCCTGAAGTAGGAGATCCGGCACAGCAATTGCACCGGTGACGCCGATACGAAGAACTCCGCCTTGGGACCCTTGGTGGCCAGGAAAGACACCACGTAGTTGCCTGGAGGGAACGCAAGGAGACGAGGGAAAAACGGATACAGAATCTCCTGAAACAGCGAGCAGCAGCAATGCGGGAATGCACGCATCTGGACGACATGCTGCTCTGGATGAGGCATTATGAGGCGACGATCCAAGGCTCAGATGTGCACTACAATGCATGCAGTGTATGTCAAACTTTTGTACACTCTTGAATGCGCAACAAGTCCGCAATTCCAGGACTATTTCCAAGCCAATGTGCAAAGCCAGGAGAATCCGAGATTAGATTGTCATGAAACGGCAATCCCAAGGCCGATGACTCATATTGAAAAACATGAGAGGCTCGAGGCTTACGTTCAGTAACCCTCGCCGTGAAGCCGTTTACGAAAAACATTCGAGATTCCAATATGGAATCGCGTAGGATGCGCAACGACGGACAACAAGCATCAAGCCGTACGTATATCAAGTCGTAGCGGCACCAGCAGCGTGTCGTCCGAGACCTGAGTGAGCTGGCGAGAATTTGTGTATAGGCCGAGGAGAAGTTGCCCAGAATGTACTGTTCCTGCGCAACCCTTATAACGAATACCGAATCTTACGTATATCGAGTCGTAGTTGCACCGGCAGCGTGTGGTCCGTGACCTGCTTCACGAGGCTTGAGCTGGCGAGCACTTGCGCGTAGGGCGAGGAGGAGTTATCGAGGATATACTGGCATTGCGTGATGTACTCCGTGCTTGTGGAAAAGCACAATAGGGTTTGCTCCGCGTGCGATCGCTCCGCCGGATCCTGCGAATTGTACAGCCGCTCGCACAACCCCTCCAGATGTGCGAGGCTCTCCATCGCCTCGCTCCGATACAGTCTCCGACGTCGTAGTCACCGAACCTATAATCACTCGCTCTTTGGCCAACAACCCAAGAGAATCACCCACCCTAAAGTCACGCCGCGTTACAATCACCCGCGTTCGATCGCTGTCCTAGGAGCTGGCCAGAGACCACCAGACGCACGAACGGGGAGTGCCAGGGTTGACGCTTCCGATAGCTACACAATAAAATGCGTTACACCGTGACTTCAGTACTAATCGAAGCCCACATCCCAGCGAAACTGATTGTCGACAATCCGGCAACGGCTGGTCGGCCCTCCCCACCCAACTGACAACCGCAGATCTTCCACCCGACACGACCGTTGACTCAACTAAACCATCTGCGACTGACGAACAGCTGCGGGCTTCTACCAGGAAGAGCTCGTTCCTTGGCTAGCTCGACGAGTCGGCAGACGCGGACAAAGTAGCCCTGGCCAGGCTCTACCCAGTCTAGAGACGTAGGCTTGCGAAGACTAAAATCTAGACTGTGGGCGAGGCGACGGACCAATAGTGCTGGTTCGGAATGTCTGGATTCGCTGATAGGCATACCTTCTACAGTGGTGGTGATTTGAAAACAGATTCTAAGGACAGTCACGTGGTGCCTGGCAGGATCCAGCCGCGCAAAAGCTCCCAGGAGCAGAGTGGGATCGAGTAGTGGCGATAAATGGCGAAAATGTGGCGCAAGAGTGATTGCTTTCGCGAGGGCGGTGATAGGCAAACCCGCGAAGCACTAATGTCATCAAATTTAGTGGTTTTGTTGACAAAATTTCATCCCACATGTTCTCCCTTCCATCAGCTAGAAACATGAGTGACAGCAGATTCCTAGTGGAGCTCCTTTTCACAAGGAACGCCATGCAATAAAAAGGGAACAAACACAAACTCAAGGGCCTACGCACTTGCAGCCACCGTGTAGGTGGGAAAAAGGCACATGAATTGCAAATTCATGGCCAAACAAGACACGAGGCTCTTGGGAAAAAACAACCCAGTGAATACAAATTCATAGACGTAGTACAGGAATCTACAAGATCCTTCATGATGCATTGACGATTGAGCTGAGCATCTGCAAACAGGAGGGATAAAAGTGGGACAACAGTCAGCCACGTACCAGTACAAGAGAAGCTGTTGATACGTAGGGTACAAGAACAATCTCAAGAGAAATGGTCACAATATCTCACCTCCATCTCAGCATGTATGGCCTGGAGCATGTCAGACTCTGAAAAGCTTGCTGGCATCTCAGCAAACATGCCGTTGTGGGAGAGAGACGAGAACATTGCCTCCTCGCTTTGGAAATCAGCACCTCCCACATTCTTCTGATCATCGAAGGCAGTCAATGGAAACTCGGAAGTACGTCCATTGCCCGCAACCACAGCCTCAAGTGATCCACTGGAAATAATATTCGCCAACCTTGCATCCTCGGTTGTGTTCAGTGCTCCCCATGGATTGCCTGAACCAGCATCAAGCATATGCCGCGTCTCATTCTGACTGCAATAAAGACTCTCGTTGTTGGTGTGGCGAGCAGATGAAAACGCCTCCACCAACATCACATCAGGTCGCTGGGACATGACTTGCTGCTTTCCTTCCTCTTGCTGATCCAGCTGTCGTGTCACCTCAGATAGATTACCCTGGGAAATCTGCTCCTGTTGCTGCTGCTGTTGCAGCTTCATGTTCAAAGCCTGCTGCTGGGAGTGGTACACCTGCTGCTGATGGATCATCATTTCCCGTCCCCCCCCATTCGCTGACTGAACAGGCAGCGATTTCTGAAGGCACTTAGCGTTGCCCTGTGGCCTCCACGTGTGGGAAATCACAGGCGCTGGTGCTGCCATAGAAGTCAGACAATGATTGACGGAGGCCGAGGAGGTAAGCAGAGCAGTGAAGGAGGAGCTGGGAACAGAAGCAAACGCATTGTCAGCGCAAATGCCTGCGCCTCCACCGCCACCTCCCTCAACTCCACCACCACCGCCGGTGAAAGTGTGGCCACTCACAGCAGAACCGTCAGGAAGAACAGACAACGGCACAACAGCTTCAGCATCAGCAGAAGCACTGCCAGCAGCAGCGCCTGTAGTGGTACCAGCGGCAGCAGTTGCAGAAGGCAGGCCTGTGCAGACTGAACTGACATCAAACGAAGGCATGCGCTCAACTGGAGCAAGGCGGCCATTGCCTTGGCTTCCATCAGCAGCGACAAGCGATGCATTGGGAGATAGGCAACGGCCAGACGAGGAAAGAGAAGACCGCCGCGCACAGAACGGCTCACTCGCAGCAGAAAAGGCTGCGGCGACAGCTGACGGAGAGGAGCAGCCGGAGGGAGCAGAGGAGTGAGGAGGAGAGCCGACCGCAGCTGGAGCGGATGCTGCTGTAGTGAGGGATGACGACTTGGCGAGTTTCCGCACGTTGGCGAGGAGGGGAAGATCGGCGACTGACGCCAAGTCTGGCTGCTGCGTCAGGCGAAGGGCTTGCGCGAGGAGCGAGCCAGGCTGGAGAGCCAATCGGGACCTGGTGGAGAGAGCAGAGGAGGATCAGAAATGAAGCAAATCGTTAGAAACGAATTGTTAGGAACAGAGAGATGCGAGTTCAGGTCAGGTATCAGGAAAGATGTGGGAAACGCGCGAAGGAACAAGAAGCTGCCAAGTCACGATGTGTTCGGCAAGCGACACTCACTTGAGATTGGCGAGCTGCACGGACATGCTGAGAGACGTCGACGAATTGAGCGCAGGCATCTGGAGAAGCGGAACCCCTGAAAAGTTTCCACCTCCCAAAGCTGCGTTGGAAGTGTTAACACCAGGCTGCTGCAAGTACGGGGAACTCGCTAGTGCCTGCTGAATCTTCTGCTGCTGCTGTTGCTGATATTGTTGCTGCTGCTGGACAAAGGAAACGGGACTTCGCACAGCGGTCGGAGACGCGGTGGCGGAAGGAGCATTGAAGGCCGCGGTGGCGGCGACGATCGCGGAAGCGCTGGTGGGACTTCCGCTTTTGAAGGAGGGCCGTGAGTTGCTGTTGAGGCCAATGCCGCCGCCGCTCAATGCCTGACGAAACACACACGGAAAGCTGTGAGCTTACGACGGCAAGGACGAAATAAAATACCGACATAGACAGTTTATAATAGATTCGGCGGAGAAAATATAAATACGTGTGCAGCGCAACTCTAATATGCGGCGTACCGGAAGATGCAGTTGGCTCGAGAAGGAAGGAGTCGCCACAAAGCTCGACAACGCCATTTGATTTTGCTGGGTGCTAGCCTCGGGTGTGACGATGGACTTCTTGGCGCGGTGAAGCAGATGCGAGAGGCTCCGCTTGTCCTTGATGCACCGCCTGCAAACGAACCGCGGGCAACATCGACGCAACATTAGACACAGTGACAACGGACGTCGGATGAAACAAGCCTGGCACGTCTAGGGTTCCCCTCGGGCGAAACGCGCCTGATGCATGAGACTGGACAAGTATAGAAACCGATGCCGTACTTTTTGAGGAGAATGAAGCGGTTGCAGCAGGCCTTCTGGTCGCGAAGCGGCAATAAACCACTAGCTTGGAGTGAGCCCCAGTTCCGCGTGCCATGGCGAGCAACATGTTGCAGCAGAGTTAAGTCCTCCTGTTTCACCGAGAAATTGAGTAGAGATTGGAAAATTGAGGGAAGAATCGAAACTAGCACGAAAACAAATCTCGAGGGCAAACAAACACTATCGAGGGTTGGGAAATTTGTCATCCCGGAAATCTCGAGGACGTATAGGAGGAAAGGGTTGTCGGATAAGACTCGTTACAAGCACGAACGGATTTCCTGGGCGAAAAAAAATAACAGGTCTAAGAGTCTAACTCAAGCAGCCTTTGTCAATCCACCCAGACATTGTCTTCCGTCGAACCCTAGGAAGCTTGTGTATCAGCCATTTACCGTCAGGGTATTTCAGTGAACGAAGCTACTCGTCACCAAGCACATACACAAAGAAATATCATTCCCGTGTTCGACCGTTTCGCGAGAGCTATCGAACTCAATTACCTGAGGCGACCAGTTCGGGCGCGTGCGATGACCGCCAAGAAATATCATTCCCGCATCCAATGCGTTGTCAGCTTGCGACGTCGGAATGTCTGAACCGTCGTTAGTGGTTTTAGACCCTAGCGCAGACGACGTCGACGACTTGAATGGCGGGATGTCTGTAGGCTGCGACATCTGAGAAACTTTCATCTGCAAAAAAAGCGTTCGCAAAAATTGCACGAGAAAGGCAGAGTCAGGACTTTCGCCGTTGATTCCCGAAGTTACACTAGTTATTCTCCGTCGAAGGAGCGAAATCCAGAAGGCTGAAAAAAATAAGAATGCTTGCGCGAGCAAAGTTAGAGAACAGGAATCGCGTGATAGAAACTCACATGATGCGCGTGAAGCGACGATGACCATTGATACTGAAGCGTGAGCTTCGGCGGGGTCTGCTCATCTTGGTACGCCATGACGGAAGATATTCTTCACAGGAGGTAATCCTCCGAAATAGTTCGTTTGACGAACACAAATGATGCGCGCAACGTCTCGACGACGCAGCTGAGTGAACTTTGAAGTGTAGCCGAGACACGACGTGAAGCAGAAAACCACGTTCCGCAACGGAGAAGAGTAGCAGGAGAAAGAGGAAAGAACTGCTGAATGAAGCTGATGAATATCCACTACAAGGGCTCCGACTTCGAGACTAGGACGGCAACGGTCGTTCTTTTCCAAAAACTTGTTTGCGGAAAAAGATAGGTTGTGGTCGAAGATGCGTGTTTGTCAGGTTGTCAATGTCCTTCACGAAGGTAAATAGGCACGGCGAAGTGCGCCGCGAAAAAACGGGTGATGATCCTTCAAGTAGCAGTTTTTCTATATCAAATGCGCGTGAGGACTAGATTTGTCCTCTAATTAGGACCGGAATGCTTCGCCGCTCAAAAAAGGAAGGCGTTACTTCTTCGCAGAAGCGTGCTACAAAATGCAGCGGGAAGAGGACGACGAAAACAGCTGCGCAGCAACGAGCGTGAAGTGGAGGGTGCGATGATCAGCTTGTCCGAACGGAAAGTGATGGACGAGAACGGGGGAATGGAAGACGTGCTAGTGATGGGCGTTGGAAAGGGAACAAGAAGCGAAACCAAACTTGGAGTAGTCGGAAATGGCGTTGGCGCGGGTGATTTGTAGAGGACGCAAAGCAGAAACGCATCTCGTCTTTCACGACGTAAAAAAAGGTGAAAGTACCGGGTGGATAGCGGGGGGATGACGTGGGGTTGGAGCGGAGGTCCACGGGAAAGGGATTCAGGCCAGTGGGAAGAATTACTCCGCTGTCGCTGGCAGCGGAGGGCTGCCGCGGAACCTCCCTTGGCGGAGATGGGGGAAGGTGGTGGATGGAGACTTGAGTGTTTGGGCGGGCGGGGGATGGCTGGGCCGCACTGGCAGCAATTGTGTGAGATCCTTCCTAGACTGCCAGCCACCAGAGGATTTTTTTGGGAGGAAAAGGCCAGTCCTGAGGTGGGTAGGAAATGGGCAGTGAGCGCGACACCGATGGGGCAGTGGCGTTGAATGTATGTGTCGCAAGATTGAGGCGAGGGGTGGGAAAGCAGCACCCCTAGTGGTTGTAAAAACTTTTTCCCCGTTCCCCGAACAGGTTGTGCAATGCGGCGGAGAAATCGGGCAGGGAAAGGGGAAGTGGGGGTTCGGGCAGGGGAATGGAATTTCAGGCGCAAGAGAACGAAATTGTGGAAAGGAGAGCGCGCGCGGAATGATGTGCAACGCAGAGATTCGGGGGATCAACACGATCTGAGCGATGAAATTGTCAGCAAATGTTGTTCACCAGCACGCAACGGCTCGTGTTGTGGCCCGCGGGCAAAGAAGTTGTGACGTTCATGAAAAAATGCTAGTGTTATGCTGTTAGATGATTTCTGAACTCCAGCCGCTGGGTGAAAGTAGGAAAAAACGATAACAAAAACTTCAGCCCTGAACTTCTTCCTAAAACAGTTCCACCGAAGCATTTTTCCAGAGGCAGAAACTGCCAAAACCAGCCTGTAAAGATCGCCTTGGAAAACTCGCCGACACCAAAACAGTTACAGAACTTCCGCGTAAGACAGGCATTCAGCAAGGGTCATTGTCCGGCAACTGAACAGAAGGGTCAAGATGAGGACAACAATTACGACAAGTAACATGCTGCAACGTTCCTCAACCATGGCAGTAAATTCTGGTGGGACATCTCCACATCTCTCCAGCTCCCGCCCTTCAGTTTACAGCTTCTGGTTTTGATCGATGCACACTTAGCTATTAACCTGCTGAATCTACGAATGCAGGTTTTCCCACTGAAACAAGCAATGCAGCATTCTAGGACTGAAAGCAAATCCATGTTCCACGTCACTGGAATTGCAGGGTCTTAGCGTGAAGCTCCTTTGGGAAGAGTGAATCAAATGGGAACGAGTCATTCACGATAGTTCTAGTACATGCTAACAATTCTCAAGTCACCGAATGGTAGGGCAAACCCAGTTCTCCATGCTAGCAACTGGCTGGAAGGAACATCAAAATTCACTGTATCCAAACACCAACTCACAATGAACAAAAGAGTCCTTTTCATGTCAGCGCGATTCTGGTCCGCAAAATCTCAGACAATGATCGTATAACCGCCCATCTCTTCATCGAACGATCAGATTCAAACACACGCCATCCTTCAGGACCAATAGAGTTTGAGCACATCGCATCTGCAAATGGGACAATCCTTCACTGTAATTTTCCACCGATTTGCAGCCTGTCATGGCACTTGGCAGGTGGGTGTCGTTGCTCCAAAATGCATTGTTGGGAGGTGAGGTGTGGCTACACATGATGCTCGTTTGACTAACCTAAGGTCGCCTTGTGAAGGGGGGATTTAAGTGATTCTAGTCATTTCGCAAATTTCGTCAACGTCGCACCTAGCAAAAAAGGGCTTATAAAAAAATTGTAACTCTTCGTTGACTTTTTGACTTCAGTCTCTTCAGATATTCTTTGGTTTCTGTGGTTACTATTGGTTCATAGCCAACGCAACTTGCTTGGGGTGCTTGTATCGTGGGTGCAGCTAGCTGGCGCAAAATACACTGGTGTAGACTTTCTGGCGCGTGCAGGGAAAATTCGCGCGCAGCAGTTGAGCATCATGTGTATTTGTTGGGAGCCTCTTGACTGGGGTGTTCAATCTGTTATAGTCAAGTTCCTGGAAGGCATGAGCTCCACAGTTAAACCTTGCCTTATGGACTACACCATGAATCCGCTATTGTCTGTTCCGGTATACTTGATTCGCCGTTACTAGGAACTCACTCCGTACAGAAGCATGCTATCACCTGCGTTATAGTGAACTTTGAATCAGCGCGATTCAGTGTGATGGGTTGTGTTTTAGAAATGTATCTGGACATTTTGGAATAGCTGGCTAGGGTATCTATGAAAAATGCATTCAAGAACCACCCCTCGTAACGCCCGCTTGCTAAGGACGGTTGACTGGTTTCGGTATCAACAAATTTCTGAATACTGCCAAGGAACAGTAGCGTTCTTACGCGGTTCGGTGTAGCAAAAACCAGGGTGCACTACAATGCATGTCTACCACTATTATTGTCCACTCCTATTCTGTCCCTGCTGTGGTCTATCATATGAAGGTTCATGGGAAAATATGTCAATGGTAACTTACATAGGGCAATATAACGCGTACGGTAACGATTTCAACGCGTAAGGTAACTCGCATAACGCGTTTGGTTGTCAGAATGTTATCATTGTCTAGCCTGCAGTGGGGTACTCTATAGCGAGTACAACCCAATTAGGGTTTCCTATATGTATGCCTACTGCTGCTAGTGCAACCCCCATCTTCCTTCATTCCTGCCTAGGATTCTGACATGCTATTAGAGCAGGTCGACCCTCCTGGGTCGATCCTGTGGATGGGCCCCACCCGATGCTTCCGCTGCTCTACTGCTGTCGCGCGCCCCAGGCGCGCGACCCTTTCTTCTTGCTGCGCACTCGGAGCGCGCGGCATTTTTCATCCCGCCGTGCGCTCGGGGCGTGCGGCAGTTTTCTGCCCGCCGTGCGCCCCGAGGCGCGCGGCCGTTTTCTGCTCGTCGCGGCGCACTGGGGGCCAGCGCGCCGGCCCCTCCTGTCGCCTCGTCGCGGCGCCTTGGGGGCCCGCGCGCCGGCCCCTCCCGTCGCCTCGTCGCGGCGCCTTCGGGGCCCGCGCGCCGGCCCCTCCCGTCGCCTCGTCGCGACGCCTTGGGGGCCCGCGCGCCGGCCCCTCCCGTCGCCTCGTCGCGGCGCCTTGGGGGCCCGCGCGCGGGCCCCTCCCGTCGCCTCGTTGCGACGCCTTGGGGGCTCGCGCGCCGGCCCCTCCCGTCGCCTCGTCGCGGCGCCTTGGGGGCCCGC